GGATGCTTTTGAAAGGTGTATTTCAGCAGAGGATGTCAGCCACAGAAGGAGAAGGCAAGGATCCAGCAGATGGATGTTGCTCACAACAGAAGGGAAGGGGGTGTAGATGACATTAGGTCAAAAAGAAATTCAAACTAGTTGCTGAAAGTGGACAGCTGCACTTGGGGGGGGAGGTTCAAAGGAGGATATGGAACCTATATCCTTTGAGAAAATGTGAGCAATTGAAAATGTTTTGATAGGCATGTTGTGGAAAAATTTGTAGCTTAATAAAAAAATAAGGCCAAGCCTGGTGGCTCATACCTGCAATCCCAACACTTTGAGAGGCTGCCAGGCGTTTGAGACCAGTCTGGGCAACACCGTGAAACCTTGTCTCTATAAAACATCAAAAAATTAGCCAGGTGTTGGTGGTGTGTGCCTGCAGTCCCAGCTACTTGGGAGGCTGAGGTGGGAAGATCTGACTGCAGTGAGCCACAATCATGCCACTACACTCCAGCCTGGGTGACAGTGGGATCTTGATTAAAAAAAAAAAAACCAAAAAGAATGAAAAACAAAAACCTAAGCAAATTAAATTTAAGGAAGTAATTGATAAAAACAAAAAGTGTTATGAGAAAGAAAATAGCACATTTGGCTCAGCAGTCCATGACCAATATAACAATGAAGTATAAAAACAATCATAATAATATAAACACCAATTATAGACACCAAAAAACTGCAACCTGGCAATATTTAAATGACAAAAGAGAATAGGTGTAAGAAAGTTAAATCTCTCTACCAGAATAGAAAGTCACCAGATAACGCCTACTGTTGATGAATCAAGATAGAGTACCTTAAGCGTACTACAAGAAGTCCCCTACATACAAACCTTCAAGTTACGAACTTTAACATTGCACACCTACTTTTTTAATGCATCATTTCTCTCTGCCAGGTGACAGTATAGCTTGTTAAATACATACAGTACTATATAGCCAATTGTGTTAGTTGGGAACCTAGGTTAACTTTCTTGGACTTAAAACAAATTGAACTTACAAATGCACTCTCAGATCAGAACTCATTCATATGTTGGGGACTTCCTGTATGTAAAAAGAAGTAGAGAAAAATACTAGAATATACTAATAAGAATGTTATAAGTAGTAGTCTCTAGGGTCCAGGATAGGATTGTGTGCATAGGAATGGGACAAAAGACTCCTATGTATCATAATAAACCTTTTGAAACTATTTAATTTTTTAATGTAATACTTTTGATTGAAAAACTATCTTTTCTTTTTTTTATAACTACTTATGTGAGTAAAATATCCCCTAAGTCAGACAATGGAGTTCAAAATTATAATTTACAGTTGTACAAAAAGATTAATCTTTCTTTTATCTTTAAATTCTTGGAGAATAACAGCATAAGTTGTTAGAGTAGGTACACACCAGTCATACTTTCATACTGCAGACATCCATAAAATAATTTTTAAAATTAGTGAAGCAAATACTATATACAAAAATTAATTTAAAATGGATCAAACATCCTAATGTTAAAAGCTAAAACTAAAAAATTCTTAAAATAAAACATAGGGTAAAAGTTTCATGACATTGAATTTGGCAATGACCTTTTCAGATATGACATCCAAAGGTACAGAAAAAATAGACCAGATGCAAAAATGGGTAAAGGGCCAGATGCTGTGGCTCACGCCTGTTATCCCAGAACTTTGGGAGACCAAGGTGGAAGGATTGCTTGAGGCAAGAAGTTCAAGACCAGCTTGGGCAACATGGCCAGACACTGTTTCTACAAAAAAATTTAAAAATTAGTCAGCTGTGGTGGCATGCACCTGTAGTCCCAGCTACTTAGGAGGCTAAGGCAGAAGGATCACCTGAACCCAGCAGGTCGAGGCTGCCATAGCCGTGAGTGCATCACTGCACTCCAGTCTAGGCAACAGAGACCCTGACTCAAAAAAAAAAGAAAGGTGGGGGAGTGTTGGTTAAAGAACTTGAATAATCATTTTCCAAAGAAGATATACAAATGGACAATAAGCACGTGAAAAGGTTCTCACCATCACGAGTCATTAGGGAAATGCAAATCAAAATTGCCACCTCACACCCATCAAGATGGCTATTTTTAAACATTAAAAAAAACCCAACAGAAATTAACAAACATTGGCAAGGATGTGAAGAAATTGAAACCCTTACACACTGTTGGCAGAAATATAAAATGGCATACTCTGGTCCAATTTGCAATGAAGTTTGAGAACCACTGATCTTTAGGGTATGCATGGTTAGTTGATCAACTGCTGGCTTCTTGACATGAGTCACCATGTGCAGTTTAAATTCATGGGTTTAAAATTCTCATAGAAAATTTCTTCAGAAGTGTTCATCATCTACTCATAACTGGGTGTTGAGTCAAAGCTCAATACTCTAGTCATACTTGCTGCCTCAATCTGCTTCTGAAATGGGTGACTGTGGTCTCCATTGGGAGTTAGAAAACCTATTCCTGAGGCTGAGCACCAGTGTCTGCCATGGAGCAGGACGGGGTGGTTCTCCTGGCAGGGAGGCTGTAACCATCACAGACAGAGGCCTGTGGGCCAAGTTCCACCACAGCACAGTTACGTCTGCTAAGGCAGTGGGTGCAGATGGCTCTCCATGGTCATCAGTAGATAGAAGCGCCTTATAAGAGGTGACCAAAAGGAGCCAAGAAGAATGCGAATTCATCTTCTGAGAAAGATTAGCATGATATCAAAACACTAGCTGTTCCCATTATAAGACACACTGGAAAAACTCTGGTCACAAGGACTTGGGGTCCCACAATGGCATCTGGTGGTCTCAAGGGCCATGTTTCTGAAGTGAGACCTTGCAGCAGAAGGATGAAGTGGTATTTAGAACATTTCCATGCTCATTGCTGAGACTGTTCCAGGCTAAAACTGCCTGACCAATTTCCTTGGAATGGATCCTACCTGTCACAAATTGTGTTTGGTGGTCAAAAAATGGCAGCCCGTGATCAAAGTTATGTTGACTTAGAGACTACGGATAGTTATTTTCTGCATTTGTGTAGGTGTGCTTCCTATTGCTGCTTTAACAAAAGAGCACAAACTGTGTAATAAACATACAACACTAGTTTATTCTCTTAAAGTTTTGGAGACCAGAAGTCTGAAATGGGTCTTCCTTGGTTTAAAAAAAAAAAAAATCCAAAAAACAATCAAGGTAATAATGCTTCTGGAGACTCTAGATGGAGAGTCCATTTTCTTGCCTTTGCGAGATGCAAGAGGTTTTCTGCTTTCTTGGCTTGACTCCTTCCTTGCATCTTTCAGACATCTGCTTCCATAATCACATCCTTGATGGTTCTGGGAGCCGGGAAGTGCAAGAGCAGGCATGGCATCTGGTGAGGACCTTCATGTTGCATCACCCCATGGGAGAAGGTGGAAAGGCAAGACAGCAGGAGAGCAGGAGGAGCCCAAACTCACTTTACAACAAGCCCACCCTCATGATAACCCAATCATGTGATGATGACACTAATCCCCTCTCACCAGGCCCCAGCCCTCAACACTGTTGCATTGGGGATTAGGTTTCTAACATCTGAACTTTGGGGGACACATTCAAACCACAGCATCTGCCACATCTGGAAGAAGAAGATAAAAATCACGAGCAGAGAGGCACACACACACAGATGATTTGAGAGAAGTGGTGAGATGATTCCAGGCAGTATTGGGAAAGGCATAAAGGAGGTTTGCCAGTCTGCTATGGGCCCCTCCTGCTCTTTTGCTCTCTTGCCCTGCCACCTTCTCCCATGGGATGACACGGCACAAAGGCCCTCACCAGATGCCAGAAATAAAAATTGCTGAAGAGTCCCACATTTGAATTGGGCAAGCTAACAGAGTCTTATGGGGAAGACTGGTTCTTGAAAATGGGAGCCAGTAGTTAAATAAACTGGTAGCCATGAGATCCTATCCCCAAAATATTTTAAAGATCAGAACTTATGAATTATGACCAAAAAAATCTTAGTGAAAAGCAGCTTAAAAAGATATATTTTATCTAGTTAATTTCAAAACACTCAAGACTCACTAATTTCTGAGAAAAAGACTTCTTAAAGCTTCAAGGTTAATGGTGCCTTTCGTGCTCTTCAATACTTAGGCTGTGTCCGTAGTGATTCCTGACAGTATTGGAATGTAAGTTGTCTTAGGTGGGGGAACACAGAGGCTGACCCTGGGACAAGTTTCAAGTACAAGGAAGTTATTTAGGAGGGTAAGAACTCCTGGCAGGGAAGCGCTCAATAGAGCATGTTATGCAAGGCCGGGCATGTGGCCCACACCTGCAATCCCTGCACTTTGGCCAAGGTGGGAGGATTGCTTGAGTTCAGGAGTTTGAGACCAGACTAGGCAACAGAGCAAGACCTTATCTCTTCAAGAAACCAAAAAATTAGCCAGGCATGATAACACACTCCTGTAGTCCCAGCTACTTGGGAGGGAGGCTGAGGTAGAAGAATCATCTGAGACTGGGAGATCTAGACTGCAGTGAGCCGTGATCGTGTCCCTGTACCCCAGCCTGGACAACACAGTGAGATCCTGACCAAAAAAAAAAAAAAAGTATGTTATCCAGTCAAATACCACCATGAGTGACTGAACTGAAGCTTAAAGTCGAATCCTACTGGGGAAGATCTGGGTGCTGGTATAAAACACACACCTCAGACTTATTCCTCCTGTGAGGTTGCAGGGAGATTTAGATGACTGGTGCCCATAGGTCACGGAGACTTCTCCTATGGGGGGCATCCTTGGCGTTTCTAGTCTGCCCACCAAGAGGCAAAGGACTCCAGAGGCAAGAGAAAGCCTTTGGGCCACAAAACATAGATCTGGCATCTCAAAGGAAAGGAGTGAAGAAACAGAGGTGTTATGGGTGGGGCCCTACGGGTTTCTGCGATGTGAGGAGGTATCAGCGGCCTCACCACTGGAATGGTTTCCAAAGGTCTATTTTTTCCCCCATGCATGATGGTTATTCTACCCCAGTTAAAATGACCAGAAAGAACAGGACCCAAAAGGGTACAACTTTAATGTGTCGGCAGCCTTATTATAGAACAGGACGGGATGATTCATAGATTCCAAGTTTCATGGCTTTTGTGCTTCAAACGTTAAAGACTACATACTGAAGGATTTCATAGGAATGACAAACATTGACCTGATGTAGAATGAAACAATGAATTCTTAAAATGTATGTGACGAGTCACACGAGGAAGAGAGGTTAGTAAGCGTAAATCTTCACTTTGTGGACCTCCTTGTCGTCACACTCCCTCTGCTTGTTGTAGTAATAGAAGGTATTGTCCCTTCTCTGCAGTTTCTTCACATATCCCGTCTCTGGCCAGCGATCTACCTGTATGTCAGAAACAAGAATGTGAACACTGTGAGGCTAGTTTTCATTTTATCTCATATTTTACTATCAAATAGGTAAAAGTACAACTCACGCCAAGAAATTCAGGTATAAAATTAAATGTTAAAAGGCGCCAGCTCTTAAAGAGAGTATGATACACACAAAACACATGTTAAGTTGCAACCTTCTATTGTAAAACAACGAATTCGACCCTTCTTGCTAGGGCCCAGTTTCTAGATTTAAATTCCTACACTGTGGCAAACAGCTATCATATTGCCATTCTGCCCACTGTCTCCCTTGCAGTGTACTCAATAAACCTGTTTTTCCACCCTAAAATAAATAAATTTCTACACTGTGTCCAAGATAGAGAAAACATACAAAATCATCTTAACTTCACACTTCTTATGCTTACAAATGGTTTCAAGCAAGATCACTTCCAAAATTAGGGCTAGGCCTGGACCCCATTCTGAAAGCACTGCCTGCTGATTGTAGATACCATGCAGTGACTAAAGAAAGCAACCAGACTCAAGAGATACACAGGGCTGAGCACGGTAGCTCATGCTGGAATCCCAGCACTTGAGGAGGCTGAGGTGGAAAGATTCCTTGAGTCCAGGAGTCCGAGACTGGCCTGGGCAACATAGCGAGGCCCCTGGCTTTAAAAAAAAGAATACTAATAAATAAAATGAATTAATTTCAAAAAATAGATCTAAAGGTATTTATGTATTTCCTTCTGCCCAATTTCAGTTTCATCTTAAAATTCATTTTTAATAGGAATTTGAGATCATGCCTATGGTCCTCAACCATCTCTTCTTACCTTTCCATCATTCTTTCTTGTATGCCATATTGGCGTCTTACTTTATCATTTGGCTTGATCTGATTTGGATATCTCTCTCCTCTCCTTCTCCTCCAAATTCAATGTTATGCTTTCTTGATCAGGTTAACGCATTTTTGTTATTGTTAAATATGTTCCTTCTGGATTTTGTGACGCACTTTATCAAAAACCTGCTATCCAGGTTTTAGAAAATCTAATCCTGTTCTTCAACACCCTCATACAAGAGGCCCAGCCCTTTTTATAACCCATTATAAAGCAAATTTTCAATAGGAAGAATAGATGAATATACCATCTCTGAATCCATGTCTCTTATTTTCTAATAACATATTTCTTTTTTTCTGTTGTCTCATTTATTTATGAATTCACAAAAATAGGTAGCAGCATATCCAATAAGCCTTGGCAGCCTATCTGACATTTGCACTTTGAAAAACCAGCAGCCCTTTCTGTCACTGATGTCACATCTGCCTGTGCATTTCCGTGATCCTCAGCAGGGAAAGATGGTGTCCTCGAGGCTCCAAGATGGTCCTCTTCCCCTTAGGGCCAGGAGCAGACTCTCCTTCACTTAGTAGGGTCCTGAAAACCATCTAATTAGGGAAAAACCAACTGCTGCCCTCCAGACAGCTAGAGCCACTTTATGTGAGATGGTCCTCAAGACACCCAGACAGGTCCTGTGCTTATTGGCTTCCATTTTCCTTTTTATCCCTCTTGCCATCTCTGATGTTTCTTCCTGGCTTTTAACCTGATTATTCCCATTGGATCTAGGACACTTTCATGCCTATAGTGAAATAGAATGATGAGGTTCCCAAGTCCAAAAACCTTCTCCTCAGGCAGGCCAGCAATCACGATGGCACCCATGGAGGTGCATGCTTCCAGTAAGGGACAGGAACTTTGCTCAGACTCTCAAACCACTGCACACTGATAGGGACATTTCAGTCAAAGCTGGCCAGTGGTCAGTGATCACAGTTACCACCCTATACATCCTTGGAGGCCCACTGCAAATGCCACTGGGGGATGAAGCCTTTTCTGGGAACTGCCCCAAAGGATAGTGATTTTGGCTTCCAAATCCCTGTGCCACTTTTCTTTAAGGCACATGTACTTTGGCTTGCATAAGACTTTATTATTCTTTTTTTTTTTTTTTTTTTTTGAGTTGGAGTCTCACTCGGTCGCCCAGACTGGAGTGCGGTGGCTGCTCCCGGCCACCGCAGCCTCGACATGCTGGGCTCCGGCGATCCTTCCACCTCAGCCTTCCAAGTAGCCGGAATTACAGGCGTGCACTACCATGCCCGGCTGATTTTTTGATTTATCATAGAAATGAGGTCTCGCTGCCCAGGCGGGTCTCGAGCCCGCGGGCTCAGGCAATCCACTCACCTCAGCCTCCCAAAGGCGTGGGATTACAGTCTGAGCCACCGAACCCGGCTGACTTTATTATTCTAACTTATCTTCTTCTCCAAGATAAAGAGATGCATAAAAGTTATCATTCATCAAGCATGTACTATTCATTCACTCAACACATTGTTATGAAGTGCTGTGATGCCAGGCACTTCAAACACATGATTCCATTTAATTCCTGCGACAATTTTCTAAAGCAGGCACTGCCATTGCTATTTTGTCGTGGAGGAAATACAGGCTCAAGGAAGCTAAGAAGCTCGTTCAGGATGATCCAGATGACAGGAGGCGAGGCCAGGATGCAAACCTTGACTGAGGCCTGTTCTGTTCCCACTGGCTCACTGGATTTCCTGGTCAGTCAGTCTCTTACCTGTCATTTTATCTCCTAAAGCACTTGTCACTGAAATGTGTACATGGTAGACATCTGGTAAACACACACTGAATTGAAGTGCAAGACCTCTTGATAATTGCAAGTCATAAACAGGGATGCTCTTTCCTTCATTACACACACACACACACACACACACACACACACACACACACACACCCCTCTCAGCTGCTTTTTGAGACTTTCCCTTTAAGAATGTTCCTTGTGTTCTCTTCACTCTGATTTTAACTCACTAGTAACATTATTAGGTATGAGGGTGTAGGTGCAGGAGTGACAAGAACACAAAGTGTTGTGTTTCACACTGCCTATGAGTCGTCTGGATCTTGCATATCTTTATCCTAAGTCAAGGTTTTTTAGAGACAGGCTCTTGCTCCGTCACCCAGGCTGGAGTGCAGTGGCATGATCATAGCTCACTGCAGCCTAGAACTCCTGGGCTCAAGCGATTCTTCCACCTTGGCCTCTCAAAGTGCTGCTGGGATAACAGGAGTAGCTATCACCACTTCCGGCTAAACTTTTAATATTAACTTTGGTAAAAATGGGGTATTGTTATGTTGGCCAGGCTGGTGTCAAACTTCTAGCCTCAAGCAATCTTCCCACTTCGGCCTCCTAAAGTGCTGGGATTACATACATGAGCCACCATGCCCAGCTTGAAGCTTAATTTTGAACAGCATTAAAATGATAATACTTATGTTTTACCTATTTAAAAGCCAGAGGTGATATGGTAATGAGATCTATCTTGGCAATGGGGACAGAATAAACTGGTAGTACATGTGAGAAGAGAGATACATGAAAATACAGTAAGCAATCTTCATCTGATCACTGTTTTTAACTTTATTGCTCAATGACCCTAATAATGTCTGCTAAATTAAGGTCCATTAAATTAAATTACATGTTAGCTCTTGATTATCTCCAATCTGTTTTTACTTTTCAAGGGAGTGTTAAGTAGAGGCCAAAGAGTAGATACAGGTGGAAGAAAGAAGAGGTTAGAGAAAGTTGTGAAATCCACAATCAGTCTCTAAGAAATGAGATAGTAAAAAAGAGAAAGGAAATACTGAGTTAATAAGAGACACTACTATAGCCCCCAAATCCAAAAATTACAATATATTTATGAATAGTACATCGCATTCTATAATACAGTTGATCCTTGAGCAACTCAGGTTTGGACTGTGCAGGTCCACTTATAAGCAGATTGTTTGTTAATCAATATGTTGGAAAATATTTTGGAGATTTGTGACAATTTGAAGAAATGGGCCAGACACAGTGACTCACTCCTGTAATCCAAGAACTTTGGGAGGCTGAGGCAGGAGGATTGCCTGAGCCCAAGGGTTCATGACTAGCCTGGGCAACACAGTAAGACCCCCATGTCGAAAGGAAGGAAGGAAGGAAGGAAGAAAGGAGAGAGAGAGAGTAAGAAGGGAGAGAGGGAGGGAGGGAAGGAAGAAGGAAGGAAGGAAGAAAGGAGGGAGGGAGGGAGAAAAGCAGAAAAACCATGTAGCCTAGAAATGTTAAAAAATTAAGAAAAAGTTGGGTGTATTTATGACTGCAGAAAATCTGCATAGATACTAGTCTATGTGTTAATTGATTGCTTATGTTATGGGTAAGTCTTCTGGTTAACAGTGGGCTATTAGTAGCTAGGTTTCTGGGAAGTCAAAAGTTATATGCAGATTTTCCACTACAAGGGAGGTTGGCACCCTCAACCCCTGCATTGTTCAAGGGTCAAATGTATTCCTAAAAATTCTATCTCCTAGTAGCCAGTAGAATGAATGAGTTACACACACACACACACACACACACACACACACACACACACACACACACACAATCAACTGGAGTCAGATCTAGACTTTGGCCTAGTTTTCATAAAGCAAAGCTGTCTCTCCGCTCCCAGGAAAGCCTGAAATGTACAACCAAACTCAGAAGTTGTTCTCGAACACTTTTAAAAAATCATATAGACTCTCCATAAACCAGAATTTAGCCCTGGTCTAATTCATGGTTAAAATAATAAGGAAACAGGAGGGAGACAATGGTTATACAATGGAGTATCTAACAACAGAATTACCTGAGTGAGGAAAAAAGATTCTGCTTTTGTGGTCTACCATGAAAGAATCATTTAGTAGAGCACAGTTGCTCAATACATGCTAGAAAATTCTGGATGTGCCCAGCTGAGGAACCACAGCTGCCCCCAGTCTGTCTGGAAGATCACTCTTCTGGGCCATAGTCTCCTCTTCAATAAATGAGAGTTGTGGTAGAATATTTCCTTTACTTGTTATGTGGTTCTTTTTTTTTTTTTTTTTTACTACTCTTTACCATCTAACAAACTCATTTTGAGTACAGATTTGTAGATGCATAAATCTTACCATAGAAACTTGTTTCACTTGTTTATATTCAATTTCATCCCGATATCCTGCTTGTTGAAATCTGTACAGATTTTCTATCTCTTCTGACCATTTTTTGGCACGACTTATTGATTTTGGTTTCACATCAGAACTAGCCATGGCTACAGAGGCCTTATTACCAATAACTTCTGAAAGATGTTAAAACAACATTAATAGATAACATAATAATGACAATTTTGAAAGTTCCTTTAAGAAGGAAGAAAACTAACACTTGAAACTTACACAAAGAGTTGAGAATCCCATTAAATATATTAAATGTTTAACATTCAATTCCAAGATTGAGAAGGATTCATGCTCTAATGTATCAGATAAAGCTGCACTGGGAATTGCAGTTATGGAGTGATGTCTAAAAAGCTGTATAGAAATTCTGAAGTTCTAGGCAATAGTTTGCACCATTCTGAAAACATCATACATACTCTTATTTGTAACTGCTCAGTAGATTGTTAAAACATCCCAACGCCATTCTAATTATATTCCTATCTATCTATCTATCTATCTATCTATCTATCTATCTATCTATCTAACTATCTATCATCTATCTATCTACCTTTCTGTCTCTTACAGACAGGGTTTCACTCTGTTGCCTAGGCTGGAGTGCAGTGGTGCAATCATAGCTCACTGCAACCTCAAACTCCTAGGCTCAGGTGATCTTCCTGTCTCAGCCTCTAGTGTACCTGGAACTATAGGCACACATCACCATGCCTGGCTAATTTTTTGTAGAGATGGGGTCTCACTTTGTTGCCCAGCCTGGTCTCGAAATCCTGGCTGCAAGCAATCCTCCTACCTCAGTCTCCAAAAGTGCTGCGGTTACAGTCATGAGCCACTGTACTTAGCCTTTTTTCTTAAAAAGGGAATGAAAGATCAGTCTTCTGTCTTCCATTTCTTGATTCTGGGAAGCAGTGGCTTCTTCTTTTTCCGTTTCTTAATTGCATGGGGACATTGCAGCCACTGCAATTCACTGAGGCCACTGTGGCACCTGATCTGATATTTACAGAATGTGATAGTCACATCCTGTAATGCGAGAAGATAGACTAACAGGAACTCCATGAAAGCTGTATGGCTGTCATAATACCAAGATCATTGATTTAGAAACAGTGCAGGAGGTCATTAATGGTCTTGGAAATTCAAATTTTCCACTCTAGTTCGTGTAATTGTCTATTCACCAAAGTTCTATGGCCAATTTTTCAAAGACAAAATCTTGCACTTGTTTTCTTAGCTACTTCTTAATTTATTACCAAAATACATTGGCATTTAACTGAAATAAAGTGCCCAGACTTTTTACCATGATTCCTTGAATCCATTCTTCCTTAAAATATATGCTAACTGGCTGATATAATGTTAAAGTCAGATACTGTAAATGACTTAATATTTTAAAAAATTTTTCAGTCACAATGATAAATATTCAGTATGTTTTTAAAAAAAGTCAAGAAATACATTCAATTTAAAAAGGAAAGCCCAAAATTATCACCACGTCAATTAGAAATATCTATCCATCACAAAACATATGATGAATTAAGACAGTTTAGAAACTAAAAAGTTTTATAACAAGTAGTCTTACAATAAAAGGTTTTTACAAAAGTAATAAATTTAGCTCTGCCTGAGCTTAAAAGGGAAGAAATGGAAATAAAGTTGACAGAGTTGCTGAATTTCAGATGAATGTTTTCTCAATATGAAAAATGTAGCCTAAATGTTTCCACAATGGTTAATTTTTTTTAAAATGAAGACTGTCAGGAGGTTAAGGGACATTTGTCTCAATAACGTATAAAGCACACACAAGTACTGATTGACTCTTTTCCATGAAAAATAAGAAAATTAGTCTAATGCTTCTCCTACCTTCTCTAGATTTTTGTGAAATTAGTTAATGCTCTAAAGATGTTAGTATACTGTTTACATTCTGTTCTGAACACAAGTCCCACAGTTGTTTGGCTCAAGCTCCAGATTTAAATGAATTTAAATGAAGTCATGTGAGTCATATAGTTCTTACTCTGATAAAAAGAGCCATTACACAAGTACATATATCATCAGTATTGCTGTTTACATTTTTTTCCAGTGTTCATACCAACATACATCTTTACCAGACCAAAGGAAATCAGAGTTTTGCATGAGACTTTTTAAAAAAACTTTTGATCTTTAGTTATTGATTAGGTTCATTTTAAAGCAATTCATTGTTATAGATTGTATTAATTTATTTAAAACTTGGAATACCTGACAAAACAATAGATAAGTCATGGTTCAATAAAACCCTTGTCCTTTAACTCCATTCATTTTAACAGGAAGTACACAACTTCACTGATGTACAATATGCTAGCTATGACCAATAAGTAAGTTGGACATGTGTGATATAGCCTGATAATCCAGGCGTGGTGGTGGGCACCTGTAGCCCCAATTACTCGGGAGGCCAAGGAGGAAGGATCACCCGAACCCAGGAGGTAGAGGCTGCAATGGGCCATGATCCTGCCACTGCACTCCAGCCTGGGCTACAGAATGAGACCCTGATTAAAAAAAGAAAAAGGAATCGACATCTTCTAGTTATTATCAGGCATTTCAAAATTTTGTTTTCCCCAAATATCGAAAAGGAACATGAATATAATTTTTACCATAACAGGAAACCTAGTGGCCACTATAACTATGCTCTACAAGTAGTAGTGTAAATTCCATTTTGGGACGGGGAAATCTCTTTCAGTTTTTTAAAAACAAAAAATGAAACTAAAATTAGGAAAGAGAAACTTACAATTCCTTGATTAAATACGTCAGAGTTTGGGAAGTGGCAGTACTAATTCTGCTACTAACATTCAGTACTTTCAAACTGAATGGTTTCTTCACTGACAGTTTTATGGCAAAAAAAAAAAAAAGAATTGATATAAAATACATTCGATGTCTATAATATCAACTTGCATCTCCACACACAGGAAATGGCAATGCCTGAGTTTCTAGTTTGCAAAAACTGAAACTTATTAAACACTATAGGGTTTATATGAGTACAGAAGGTTCCTGATTTACAACGGTTCAACTAAACAGTTTTTTGACTTGATATGAAAGCAAAAGCAATGTGCATTCAGTAGAAATGCACTTGGACCATGCTGTTTCTTACTTGCAGGACAGTATTCAATAAATTACATGAGCTACTCAACACTTTATTATAAAATAGGCTTTGTGTTCTATGATGTTGCCCGTCAGTAGGCTAATGTGAGTGTTCTGAGCATTTTTAAGGTAGGCTAAGCTGTGATGGTCAGGGCGTTAGGTGTGTAAAAGGCATTTCCTACTTACGATACTTTCAATTTGCCATGGGTTTATGGGGAGATAATCCACACTAAATCGAGAAGCATCTGTATTTTAAAAACCTCACCAATCTCAAATTCCTGACAACCTCAAGTTGTAATAGTAGACGCCTCTGATGTAGCCAGTCACCCAGACTCCTTTCTATGCAGAAACCCTTTTCACCTCTATTTCGCTCTGAAAACTGTTTTTACTTTTAGTGGTATTAAAACTCCAAGCACATTAGCCTTCCTAATCCTCCATTTCCTCCCCCTTTTTATTATTGCTTTTCCTAAGAGGCAGCGAGGTAATGAGGAGGAGCCCTTTGAAGAGCACATAACCTTGGCCAAGCTATGAACACTCCTGGACCTGTTTCTATTAGACGATCTCTACAGTCCTGGAACTCCCCATCCCCATGCTGTTTGGGTGTTAAGTTGCAAGGCGAAAGCAGTTCCCTAAGTAAGTCTTGGTGGCCCACAGCCCAGGTTGCCAATCGGCATGTGTGCAGCACAGAGCCACTCTCTTCTGGACCTCACAGCTAACCTGTCTTCTCAAACATTTTTTTCTTCCAGAAATCACCAACTGTGTCCGGGAGGCCTAGAGAAGGCTGGGATGGAAGAAGCACCACATCCTAAAGTCTAGGATCACAAAAGTGAGCCCTCAGAGTCGCGGCCCCTAAAGCCAAAGAGGACTCGAGGCAGACCGGAAACTTCTGTGGAAACACAGTTGCTGGCCGGACAAATCTCAGGAAGCACAAAACAGCGACGGGACTGAAGGGAAGGGGCGGAGCCCAGACTTCCGGGGCGGGGCCCTTGCCGGGGCGCAGGGGCGGGGCAGGCAGGGTCTGGACCCCCAGGGACGCATCCTCCCACACCTGGATCCACCTCTCCGTGGTTACCCTCGCTCGGCCGAGCAGGAGAAGCCGGGGACGCTCCCGCCCGGGAGCTCGCAGGTGGGCTCCGCAGTGCTCGCGTTCTTCACTCGGGATCCGTGGGCCGGGCCAGCGAGAGGCCAACCGTCTCGGCCAGTGCTATCCCCGCGTCTCCTAGCAACGCGGTGAAGCTGCTGGAGCGCCGGGCTCACTCAGGCCCCGCCCAGCTCTCCCAGGCCCGCCCCCCCCGCGTGGGCCTTTGTGCGCACGCGCGAGGTCTGGAGCCGGCAAGCGGGTCCAGCGTGCCCTGCCGATGTTACGTGCCAGGGTGCGAGCTTTGTAAGGGCTTTCCCCGAGCAGAGGCAGAGAATGAAATGGATCATTTGCTGCTTCTTGAATCCCAGACAGAATTCCCTTATGAAGCGGTTCAGAGAACGGAGACCACTGGTGTTTCTAGTTCGTGACAGTAGATATCTCATATCTGTTCCTTTGTGGGGATTAAATGAACCAAACTATAGGATCCATCATGGCACCTAACAACGAGTGTAAGCCTACAATAAATAATGTCTACAGCTTTATGTTTTTCTTTTCTTAGAGATAAGAGTCTTGCTATGTTGCTTAGGCTGGTCTCGAATTCCTGGCCTCAAGTGATCCTCCCGCCTCAGCCTCCCAAATTGCTGGGATTACAGGCATGAACCACCATGCCCTTCAGTTTTAGTTTTTGTAACATCTTTATTATTATTATATTTAAAACACCACCTATTTTAGTGAGTATTTAGTGAAAAGTGGTCAGATTTTAGTGAAAAGTGATCGGTTCAAGATATATATTTTGAACGTAGACCCATCAGGATTTGTTGAGTGAAAGGAGGCAGTGGTGTGTTGGAGTCAGCTCATTAGAGATTGAGAAAATGAATAGTTAAAATTTTAGGATTTTTTGAGCCAGTTATGAAACACAAACTGTATTATAAAGTAAATTATGTAAACCTTTAGTTAAATGCGTTCTATTAAAACAAAGGTAATAAATGCTATATTAAACGTCCCTCTGATTACTTACAGTTTCCAAATGTATTTCCCCAGTCTAGATCTTTTTCTGAACTTTATACTTGTATATCCAATGTATATTCAACATCCACTTTGTCCAAAACAACTTCCCCAAACACCACCCTCCCCCTTAAAGCCCCTGCCCTTCCACGCCTTTCTCTCTCAGTAGATGGGCACACAGTTTAATCAGCTATCTGCTATGTATCAGTACAGTGTGTGATACATAGCAGATCATCGGTAAATGAATACATTTGTTGAACGAATACATGAAGCCATGTCAGGCCCAATGGCTCGAGCCTGTAATCCCAGCAATTTGGGAGGCTGAGACGGGAGGATCACTTGCTCTCAGGAGTTCAAGACCAGTCGAGCAACATAGTGAGAACTTGTCTCAAATAAAATAATAAAATAAAATAAAAATAATAAAATAGCTGGGTGTGGTGGTATGCACTAGGTAGTCCCAGTTACTTGGGAGGCTGAGGTGGAAGGACCGCCTGAACCCAGGAGGTCGAGGCTGTGATGAACCAGGATTGTGCCACTGCACTCCAGCTTGGATGACAGAATGAGACCCCAACCAAAAAACCGCCCCAAAACAAAACCAAAAAATACATGAATCCTCACCATCGCATTTCCTGGAGTTTTGCAGCAGGTTTCTACCTGGATTCCCTGCCCCAGACTGCTTAAATGTTCATTTACATATTTTTCTTTTTCTTTTTTTAGAGGCAGGGTCTCACTCTGTGCCCAGGCTGGAGTGCAGTGGTGTAGTCTTGGCTTACTGCAAACCCAACCGCCTGAACTCAAATGATCCTCCTGCCTCAGCCTCCCAAAGCCTCCCAAAGTGGGATTACAGGCATGAGCCACTGCACCCAGCCTGAATGTTCTCTCTAAAGTTGAATCCAGTGATTCTCCAACTTCAGCGTCTATCAGAATCACCTGGAGAGTGTGAGACACAGATTGTTGGGTCCCACATCCCAGAGTTTCTGATTCAGTAGGTCTGGGCTGGGGTAGAGATTTTTAAATTTCTTTTCTCTTTTTGAGTTGGAGTCCCACTCTGTCGCCCAGGCTGGAGTGCAGTGCCACACTCATGACCACCCCACTATCAATCAGCTGGGCTCCAGAGATTCTTCTGCCTCAGCCTTCTAAGTAGCCGGAACTACAGGCGCGCGCTACCATGCCCGGCTAATTTTTCGATTTATTGCAGAGATGAGGTCTTGCCAAGTTGCTCTGGCTGGTCTTGAACCGGCAGGCTCAGGCAATCCACTCGCCTCAGCCTCCCAAAGTGCTGGGATTACAGGCTGAGCCACCAAACCTGGTCAATTTTTAAATTTCTAACAAGTTTCTTCTTCTTTTTTTTTGAGTTGGAGTCTCGCTCTGTCACCCAGACTGGAGTACAGTGGCCGCTCCCGGCCACCGCAGCCTCGACCTGCTGGGCTCTGGCGATCCTTCCGCCTCAGCCTACCAGGTTGCTGGAACTACAGGTGCGCGCTACCACGCCCGGCTACTTTTTGATTTATTGTAGAGATGAGGTCTTGCCAAGTTGCCCAGGCGGGTCTTGAACCCGCGGGCTCAGGCAATCCACTCACCTCAGCCTCCCAAAGGCGCGGGATTACAGGCTGAGCCACCGAACTCGGCTTCTAACAAGTTTCTTAATGTCAGTGATGCCATTCCAGAGTCCACACTTTGAGAAATACTGTTCTAATCTCACCTGTCGCTGTCTTGTTTAAAGCCTCTTGACTTTCCCACTGCAGTTCAAGCTTCAACTTATTGGCTTGATGGATGACATCCCTCATGGTCTGATCCTTACTTAGCTTGTACAACCTTGACTTCCCTGTTAAATCCCCTTATACCTAATACTTAGGTTAAAAGGAACTCATTATATTGCCTAGACTGAATAAATGCTCATTCCAGGGATTTCAGCTGTTCGTGGGCCTGGAAAGTAAACTCAAATGCACCTTCTCGCTAAGTCTTTCTGATGGTTCCTTTCTCCTTGCAAAATGCAAGTCTCTCCTTGGTCCCCACATGATACCTTGAGCACAGTCCCATGAAGAATCTTGCAAAACCTCTTGCATGTATTTGTTTCCACGGACTTCTCCTTCTGCCAGACCATAAGCTCTTGAAAGACTGTGGCTGATTCCTTCATGGGCCTCCAGGTCCAGCCTGGTGTCTGGTACTTAGTGGATGCCAGATAAATAGTAACAGCTAATATTTATGGAGCACTTACCATCTCCCCATTCTCCATTGCCTCCATTTGTACAGTTGAGAGGATCGAGTTTTAGAGACGTTAAGTAACTTAATAAAGACCACACAAATAGTAATGGCTTAGATGAGATTCTAACCAGGGTTTCCAAAATATAATGATTAGACTCCTAGCCCTTGAATTATCTATTTTGGAATGTTATATTTGAATGAATCTACACATTTCCACCTTGTTCTATGCCCAAATTTCTCTCACCTTTCTCTAGAACTGAAATCAAAATTCTTAAAAAAAAATCACAAAACCTGAAGATATCTGTCTTCAGTTAAACCTTATGGTTAGGACATAGAATTTTAAAATTGTTAGCCCTTAGTGGTAAGAGAAGTACCAAATTTTTATAAAAACAATAACATAAACATATATTACTTTACATTGCTCTTCATTAAAGGTTGAATTGTGCCTCTGCTATATTTGAATACTGAATTCCTACCACTCAGTACATCAGGATGTGACCTTAATAACTAATTTTTGGCGATTCAACATAAACTTATTAGCAGGTTTCAGTCTTGCTATGACAGAATGAATCAAGGACTTAGAAGATCAAAGAGTTTTGGGACTGCTGAAAGGCAGAGATTCTCAACTAGGGCCTGAGGGAACAGAGAACAGTCAATGATATTGTTGACCACATCTCACAGTTTTTTTTATTAAGGGCTTCTCTTGAGATTCAGTATTTTAAAAAATTGGGTTTCTTCTGAAAAATTTACTTTTATCTTATGAATGCCAAAACATGGGTCAGGCATGGTGGCTCATGCTATAATTCCAGCACTTTGGGAGGCTGAAGTGGGAGGGTCACTTGAAGCTAGGAGTTTGAGACCAGCCTGGGCAGCATAGTGAGATCCTGTCTATATTAAAAATAAATAAATTCTATTTATTATACCAAAAAGCTAGAGAGTGATTCTGTCGCCTTCTTTTCTCTGTCTTCTAGAAGAGCCACATGTATGGCCCACCTCTCCAAAAGGTACTTGTGCGTATGTCCGTGGGATATGCTTACCTATCTTGTCTGTTTTCTATCCAATCTTTCCCTTTGACTTACTCTATTTCCTTTTATTTGCTCATAATGTGTCCATTGTGGGAAAGAAGAGGAGATAAATCAGTGAGCAAATAAATAAGAATATGAGCAGTATCTTGTCCTGCATTTCCCGGAGCTCCAAAGGCTGCGAGATTCTTCAGATTCCAGATCACAGCAGAGTTTGTTGTTAGGTCTGTATAACATCACCAGGGCAATAGTTCCTGTTTATTCTAAGACAAACCATCTTATGCCAAATCAAAGGTATTGCCAGTAGTGCACTAGCAGAATATTATGGTATCTATACCTTTCCACACCACCACCCCGCCTTCTCCTTGATTTTTCTTAAGACATCATGAAAATACATATTGAACTAGCACTCTGAGTATCTTGGCTACAGGAACAAGCTAATCTCTTCTGAGAGTGGCATTCTCATTCCTAATTCCCTTAGTCAGAAGTCCTTGTTCCTGGGTTTGTTCCCATATTACTTTGTGTCCCTGTGGAAATGTTTACCGTATGCTACAAACATGTCTCCATATAAATTGAACATAACTTGCAGGCACATCTTAGCTGTGTAACTGCCAAAGGTTTGACACCGGGTCATGCACAAAACAGGACTTCAAAATCGTTTCAGGTTGCTTGTGGTTAATAATATCGTGGTCCCAGGCATGGTGGTGCTGGCTGTAGTTCCAGCTACTTGGAAGACTGAGGCAGAAGGATCACCAGAGCCCAGCAGGTTGAGGCTGTGGTAGCCTTGAGTGTGCCACCGCACTCCAGCCTGGGCGACAGTGAGACTCCCATTCCAAATAATGATAGTAATAACAATAATAATGCTAATACCATGGTGTTTAAGGAGACTCGATAGGAAGGAGTACAGTAAATTCTGTCGCGATTATTTAGTGACTTTCTTCTTTCTTTCTTTCTTTCTTTCTTTCTTTCTTTCTTTCTTTCTTTCCTTCTTTCTTCTCTCTCTCTCTCTCTCTCTCTCTCTCTCTCTCTCTCTCTCTCTTTCTTTCTTTCTTTCTTTCTTTCTTCTCTCTCTCTCTTTCTTTCTTGAGTTGGAGTCTCACTGACCCTCAGGCTGGAGTGCATTAGCATGATCACGGCTGCCTCCACCATCTGGGCTCAGATGATTTCTCCACCGCAGTCTCCTAAGTAGCTAGGAATACAGGGGTGCGCCACCACACCCGGCTTTTTAAGATTTTTTGTAGAGACGAGGTTTCATTATATTCCCCAGGCTGGCCTCAAATTCCTGGGCTCAAGCAATCCTCCTGCATCGGCCTCCCAGAGTGCTCAGATTACAGGTGTGAGCCACCACGCCTGGCCTACTTGGCGACTCAATACAGTACTTTAACAAACCTTTTCAGAAAGGTTGCTTTGGTATTTTATGTATACATCCTTCTAACCTCCTAAAAATACAGCTAAAAAAAAGGTAGGGGGCGGAGGAAGAGGCTAGAAGCTATGGCATCATTGGGATTTTATTTACCCAAAGATCATGCATCTGAGCTGTGATCATCAGAGATTGCAGTATTCACCCAGTTTGTAGATTACATAAATAGAAGAGGGAATCTTACTGAATCTACCATGAGTCAGATACAACTTTCTCAGAGAGTCCTCATGGGCTATCCCATAAGGTAGAAATTGGGAAGAGAAGAGAAAGAGGAGGAATGACATCGGCTTTCGGGACTGCAGCAGACAAGGAGGAAGCCGAAGTAAGGATGATTTCAAAGCGGAGCTCCGCAGCTCCCCCGCCTCCTTGGGTAGGGCAGCTGCTATGGGTGTTCGGGTTTCCGACTGAGCGACTGTCACCGCACAGACACGGACAACTCTTGATCAGAGCAACGCCCGCCTTCTTGCTTGTTGATCTCCAGCAGGAACGAGCCTCTCGCCTCCAACCCCTGGACAGCGCCAGCCTTCCTAGCGCTGGGCGAGTCCCCAAGCGCCGCGCAGCGCCGGCGATTTAAATCCCAGCACGCGGGCGGCGCCGGGAGCCGGATCCCACGCTCCTTGGCTCCGCCCCCGGCCGCCGAGCTCCTCTGATTGGACGGAGCTGAGCGCGGCCGGCCAGTGGCGAGGCGGCGCTCGGATTCCGGAAGTGAGGCCGCGGTCGGGGCAGGCCTGGCTGCGGCGGCCGGTTCAGGCTTCGGT